ACTGAATAGGAGAGCGACCATGCTGCTGTTGACCTGTGATATTACTCTGAAGAGAATGCAAGATTTCATGTTTATACAGTAAAGTTAATAACTTCATTAAAACTGTGAAATTATTTTTCAGTTTTGCAAGAAAACCGACGTGTGAGACAGAGTGAGAGGTGTGTGAATCTCTGACTCTGGGTGTGATGGCAGCCCTAACTTCAAACAACACACATGTTAGACAGATGGAGACCCTCAGTTTCAAGAAGTGTGAACCTAAATTTCTATGTGAGGCTGTATCTTGTATGTGCTTATATTTCCCTATTTGGTTATGGTTATTGTTAAATAGTGTATAATTTGATAGTTTCGTATTTGTAATGCCTCATGTTTAGTTTACTTCCCCTCCTGGTTCACCGTCTAAAATTACTGTTATCTTCTTGTGTCCACTTTCCCTAGTGACCTTGACCTGCTTGTCCTTTGTCTTTGTTTTCCCAGTGTTATTAATGTCCTCTCTGTGTTTCCAGCCAGTTTTAGATCCTGTTTACTCTTCTGTTTATGGATTTTTTTACCACCCAAAATGAAGGCTCATTTGCATTAGATTTTCATGTGTCTGTATTTGGGTTCTAAACTCTGCAGTGCACATTAGCATTTTATGTAACCTGTACACTGATTCCTGTCTAATGGCCCTGCAAGGCTTAACTATAAGGAGAAGCTGTCTTGTTGGATGTGAAACATTTCTTTAATCTTTACCTGCTGGATCAATATCACTGTAGAAACAGAACTGACTGATTCCAGAGACATATGAGTTTGACTATTTAAAGAGTAGCAGTGGGTTTAGCATGTGATAGCTGTTGGTTTGTCGCAAACTGCCTCAGGCTGAAGGTGTTTAAGTATTCCATCGATTTAGTGACATAGGCTAGAAGCAATTTTCCACAGCCTTTAACTCTAAACCATAATGGTATCCAAATAGAAGAAATGTGGGATGAATTACAAAAAAGGACAATTGTTATGAGAAAAATGATTTAGGCCAAATTGCAAATCACTCAAAAACATCCTCTGAAAAGTAACAGGGTTTGTCATATAAACAACATAACATCTCAACAAACAGAACAGCAAATCAACACAAAGCAAAGGGACCCTGGGGTGTAGAGCCTTACGCATATGTATATGTGGAAGACAAAGTGCCAGAGAGGAAAAAAGAGAAAAGAAGACAAAAAGAAAACAGAGGAAAAGAAAAAAAACTGAAAAAAGATTGACAGAGTAAGAAAGAGCGAGAGCCCTCCTGAACCCTCACTTATGTTGACTGAGGATCTTTGTACCTTTCCTCCTCCATGAAGTACAACACATGAATCACATAACTTTCTGGGCATTCTACCCAGACCTTATCATCCACCTTAGCTACAGTCATCTTTGACAGGTTTATGACAAAGGTTATGCCAGCCTTACATACGTGTGTAGGACGTAATTAATTCTACTTGACAAGTTTTTATTAAAAATGGCTTACAACGCCAAAATAAACCATAAATCCAACTAGTTAGGCATTTTTACAACTTTGAACATTTTGTGGTGTCAATTTTATTATTATAAATTATGGCTCTTTTGAGACATAATTTATAACAGTGCCAGTGCTATTAACAGCGCCATTTATTGTGTGTCTTGTGCATTTGTCCTGTCTTCCTCCTCTCACCCCAACCAGTCGCAGTAGGTGGCTGCCTGAATCTGGTTCTACAGAAGGTTTCTTCCTGTTAAAAGGAAGGTTTTCCTTCCTACTATCTGCAAGTGCTTACTCATAGTCTCAGTCTGTCTGCTCTTCGTGGACTACAGCTTGACATTCAACACCATAATGCCAAACTGGACCACCCTCAGATTCTCCCTGTGAAATTCTCCTGGATCAAAGACTTGCTCACCAACTGGCATCAATCAGTCCGATTCAGTGTGCTCTCCTACTGCCTGGGTGTTTGGCACGCAGGGGCCACAACTGAGAACAGGAAGGCACCAGGGGTGGCTGCCCTCTGCCACCCCTGGAGGCCATCACCAACTCCTCCTGTCTCAGGAAAACCAGGACCATCACAGGTGACCCCTTGCAACCTGCATACCACCTGTTTGACCCCCTGCCCTCTGGTTGGAGCTTCAGGTAAATCAGTCCTACACCTCCAGCTTCTTTGTGCAGCACACATATGTCAATCAGCATGCAGCCTGTTTCAGTTGCTCCTGCTTTTTTCTTCATACTTTAACTTTTATTAATTTTTGTCTCTTGTCTTTTACTTAGCAATAGAGTGGTAGTTTGTTTTAATAGCTTTCTCTTTAAAAAGGGATTCCTGCTGTCTACTATTTATTTTTTATTCCGGCAGGTGTGGAACACACACACAATTTCATTGTACATGTACAATGACAATACAGGGCTATTCTATTCTATTCTATTCTATTCTATTCTATTCTATGCTATGCTATTATGGAAAGCTTGTGAAAACTTCTTTAACCACTAGATGGCATATGTCAGCTATTTCAGAAACCCAACTAAGAATGCTCCATCTGTGTTGATGGTCCAGCTCTACCCCTCCCTTCACATTACTATGGCATTAAATAACGCCTATTGTTCCCATCATTTTTTTTAAACCTGAGAAAATTTCCTGTCAAGACTCTATTTGGACAAACTAAAGCAAAGATGAGGAGACTTCAAAACCTGCTGTTTACCTTTTGCAGTAAGTTGTTTAAACTGGTAAATAACTAAAATATAAAGATCAAAGGCTGATGTAGACCAAGTAGTACATCTATCTCTTCTAGTAATTTAGAAGAACAGTAGACCAAACGCTTTTTCAGTCTTGGTAATTTCGTTATACAGCACTAACATTGTTAGTATGAAATCTCGCATGATGACCACAAAGAAAATACACACACAAAAACGTTTCACATTCTTTTTCCAGTTGCTCTGAGGTGTGTGACCAGTGCAGAAGCGGTGATCCATGTGACTGGATATGTGGGGAGTGCGGTTAAAGTTTCCTGTTCCTATGATGAAGGTTATGAGTCTTATGATAAGTACTTGTGTAACAACGACTGTGGTGACAGTGATGTTCTTATTACAACATCGGAATCAAGGAAAAACAAATACAGGATCCATGATGACAAAACAGCACGAATCTTCACAACAACCATCTCTGATCTTCATTATACGGATGCTGGGAAATACTGGTGTGGAGTGACCAGAACTGGAAAAGATATCTACACTGAAGTCGAGCTGAAATTAGTACCAGGTAAATAAAGACATGGACAGGATGAATTGTACATTTAAAGTGATTAAAAATTATATAAAGAAAGTTAAA